ATTGACCTAACATGGAAACTTGGTTTTAAATTTTTTCATTCTTTATTCCATAGGTTTTGTCAGCAACGTTAAATGGATTCCTGAACTGTTCATGTAATCACCTGACCTCCTTTGGAGGTAGTTTCTTTGTAAAACCCAATCCCATCGACTTTGATCAAGTGCTGGTAGAGTTCAAGAGACTTGCAGATACAGGAAATGTCGCGGTTATTGTAACCGTGGCAGTGGTATCCCTGTGCTACGTTATAGTGATTGTTTTCGTCAGAAAAGCGGATCAGCAAGACACCAGAAATGTAAGTACTTATTAGGTAACTTAAATAATGCAACCACCACTTGGAAAAACACTGCAGCAGTGTGAAGCTGAATCGTAGTGTAAACCAGACCGAGCAATAAAAAATATTAAACCAAAGGCAAGACTCATCGGATAGCTCAGTTAGAGAATAGAGAACTCGTTCTCCTAGAGCTCATCAAATCAAACAGAGAGGTATTTTTTTATCACCATGAACACGATTGAACCCTATAAAATGAACTGGAAGTACAGTATTATACAAAACTAGGTTCTCCAGTTCTCTTAATTCTTTTAGTGAAGTCTTACTTCTATAATAATGTATGACTGTGCGATTATCGAAACTCCATGCTCTATAATCATCTATAATGTAAAATTATGCGTACAAGGGCATCGTAGAGGCGCAGAAGAGTTAATTTTTCTAGTTTCGGGGGTGATGGTAGGTGTTAGTGCGGAGCCTTCGATTTAGGCTTCGGTGCCTCATTTGGCACAACGGAATCTAATCAGTAGCAGGTACCCATTCAGATCTCTGAGGAAGCTTTTAACGGAAACCAATTCTTTGTTTCTGGCCTTGCAGACATGCATAATGAAAACAAACCAACAGAAAAACAAAAAACAAATTATACAGCGCTCTCTTATAACGTCATGGTGGCCACATCAGTGTTTCAGAACAATGTAACGGCGGCCATGTTGGTGTTCCAAATCAATCCTGTTGGATTGTGTCAATAAACACTTTCTTTTGTTCCAAAAAATTTTAATAGATGCTTATCACGAGTCAGAGTGAAAACTCTTCACACGGAACGAAACTTAACAATGAAGGGAACAAAAACACATAACACTTTCCTTTTCTTTTTTGTTCCAGAATGGCTCTCCAGTTGAGCTGCCAGCAGGATCAAACAGTTTGTACGAATATGAAATAAAAATAATAACAGGAGTCTGGAGGAACTCTGGAACAACAGCTAAAGTTGCTATAGAGATATACGGCTCTGAAGAAAACACCGGGAAGGTTCCGCTCAATAACATGGAAGATTCACCGACGGGCACACTTTTCTCTAGAGGAAATACGGACGTTTTTGTTCTTAAAGTTGAAAAACCGCTCGGTTCCATTGAAGGGGTGAGGTTTGGGCATGATAACTCTGGAAATAGTCCTTCGTGGTTTCTAGAGGAAATCATTGTTCTTGACAAACAAACGCTTTGCTCTTGGACATTCACGAATACTCAGTGGCTAGCTCTTGAGAGAGGAGACGGTAGGATTGAACGGATGTTGGAGACAGAACAAAATACAATAGATTTCAACAGCGAGGTTTTAAAGCGATGGTGGAAAGGACTCACAGAGAAACACATATGGGTCTCAGTTATAGCGAAGCCAAGGAGAAATCGGTTCACTCGGGTACAACGGGCGTCATGCTGTCTTTCACTGCTATTGACAGCTATGCTTGCAAACGCCATGTTTTACGAACTGGACGGAAAATCTGAGAATGTGATTCAGATCGGACCTTTGAAATTCACTTGGAGACAAGTAGTTATTGGTATCGAAAGCGCGCTCATTGTTGCCCCTATAAACATTTTGATTGCATTCCTGTTTCAAAAAGGGACCGAAAACACCGCCAGTCAAACCCGTGTTTGCTGGAAAGCAAATTGTCTCATTTACTTTGCCTGGTTTTTATTCGTTTGTTCATGTTCTGTTTCGGCGACGTTTACCATCTTCTACAGCTTGCTCTGGGGAAAGGAAATCAGTGAGCAATGGCTGTCTTCCATGTTTATCTCTTTCACCCAGGATATGGCAATTACTGAGCCGTTCAAAGTGTTCTTTACCGCAATAGTACTGTCAGCCATCATTATCAGAAAAAAGAGAAAGAGAGATGGTAGCGAATACGTAAAAGAGGCTAAAACTCGAACTTCAACTAAAGGACATTTATGGAAGATGAAGCTCAAAGACGTAGAGGAGATGAGAAGGCGTCAGGCGAAAAAACAAAATATATCTCGGTTCTTTGTGGAGCTTTTCATCTACCTTATTTTTGTTTTCTTGTTGATGGTGGTTTGTTATGGTAGCAGAAATGAACATCGATACATGATGACAAAATCCGTCACAGAAGGACTGCCAAAATTTGAAGCGGTAAGGGAAATTTCTCTAACATTATTGCTGAACTCTTTTCTCTTTTCCTCTATGATTGCTTGCTGGGAAAACTGTGTCTTCGTGTACACAATGAACAGCGGCTTTTTCCATTACTATCCTTTAGTTTGGCCGGCAGGGGGATTATTACCTTCTCACAATTTTTGAGTTAGGTTAATATAAAAGGATAATGATTTCAGGACTACGCGCTTGATAGTTACTGAATGAAGAGAAGATCATCACAGTGAAAAACTGAAAACGCAACTTATGCAATTGCGAAACGAAAGCCTGAAAAAAAATCATAAAAAAATAATAATAATTGCATTGTCGTTTTTCTTTCCTACCGTGTAGAACTTTCAAAAAATTACTTAATTGTCGTGGTTCTTGTACTAGTTTTGTTCTTTGTTTTTGCTTTTTTGCTTTTGGGATACCAGGTCATTAACAAGAAACAGTACTGGAGCTGGATTAAAAGTGTCTTTTTACCCGGTGTATTTGCTGGTAGATGGTACAACGGACGTCCCGAGAATCAAACCATGTACATCGGAAATAAACGTTCAATCCTGGTAGGAATGGCTAGAGGAAGGCAACTTAGAGTTCAACCTGGTGAGTTTTAAATTAGAAATTGCGTTAAAACTCAAGTGAGAAAAGAAAATTTCGCGGCCTGTCATTCCTTTTCAAAATAATCTCATAAAGTACGATTTTTAATGGCCATTTTCTCCGGGCATGGTAAACAATGGATGTTGCCGCAGAAGGAGCGAAAAGGCGACTAGGCCATTTTTCCTGATACGTATTTCCTCGAGAAATAGCTGAAAAGGGGGCGATTATTCGAGGGAAGGCGATTATTTCAAATATTGCTCGCTGGAAGTCGTGGATTGAATATTAGAATATTTTATTTATTATTTTTCTATTAAATCAAAAAATAATCAAGAGATAAACTGAACATGGATTTTTAAGTGTTCCAAATTTAGTTTCTTGATTGATTTTCCGAGTTTGAATCGTCACTGATCAGTTTTGCTGAATCACATTGCCCTTCAACATAAGGAGGGGAGGGGAGGGGATAAAAGGAAGAGAATATGGCAGGAGGGGCGAATAAGGGAGATTATCAGAGGGAGGCGCGCGATTATTTCAAATATTTCCTTCAAAAAAGGGCGATTATTTGAGAGAGGCAATTAATCGAGGGACGGCTATTATTCGAGGAAATACGGTACCTTGCGACATCATTTTATATTCTTGAGCTTTCATTGTTAAATGTGAATCTGATGCGAGACACAAAATATTTAAAAAAAGAAAAATAATAGCCTTCTGCTAGCAAAAAGAAGGAATCTAAACGAAGAGAGATTGCTTACATCATAGTTATTAGAGGAGACTGGTTATGAAAAGCGGCAAACATCAATGATAAAAACAACAGTGCTGCAGTTTCTGTTGGAAGCACCCTGAAAGTGTACAATCCTTTGTTTTCTGTTGGCAAATTGTTACGGAATAAATTAATGCAACGTTTTTTTTGTTCAATACAATCAAAATGATAGGAATTCTTTTGAACGTTGTGCACTTTCAGGTCCACAAAAACATATAAAAAAGGAGTCTGACGGGTTTCATAACCATTCCACTCAATTAACTATGCTTACATTATTAAGAAAAAGGTATGTAGGATCTGGAAAACTATATCCACTTCCTTACTCCAAACCCTTATCAAAATTTGCATCAATTCTTAGATCTTTATAAATAGGTTCTTTTTTTAAACATTTGCAGAGACTTGTGAAGTTTTGGATTACATGAAGCATATGTTTCCTGTTTGCTACGGCGGTTACTCACGCTTAAACGAAGATAAGACATCCTTCAACGAACCAGGGTGGAAGCCTGTCGACAACTCCACGAATAATGACGAACTTTTCCGACTTTGCCCGAAGCCTTGGAGATACCAAGGTGCCGAGGATACGGACACGGTGCCTAAGTGGGGACAGTTCTCGTTTTATCCTGGTGGAGGTTTCGTGGCCGACTTAGGTTATGGACATTCGACAGGCCTTACCGTTATAGAAACACTACAAAACAATGACTGGCTCGACAGGCGAACCAGGGCCATTATATTGGAATTTTCCTCTTTCAATCCATCTGTTAGTTTACTTTGCATCACGACGTATTTTTTTGAGGTAGAGGCTTCCGGATACAGCGCCCCGTTCACGAGAACTGAGGTTATTTCATTAGACTCAACAGAGGCTGGTTCGCAACAATTTTACCTCATCTGTATTCTGTTCTTTATCATATTTGTCGCGTTTTACCTTGGAAGAGAGTGCTACAGGCTGTACAGACAACGTTCTCGATATTTTAAATCTTTATGGGGCTGGGTAGAAATATTCCAAGTGTTGTTTTCCTTGTTGGCTGTGGTAATGTACATCGTGAGATCCAAAAAGGCGACCTCTACGATTCAGAAGCTTCAGAAAAACATTTACGCAAACCTCAGCTTTCAAGAAGTCATCATTTGCCTTGAAATAGAGAACGCTGCTCTTGGGATTTTAACATTTATTGTCACCGCCAAACTTCTGAGACTTATTCGCTTCAATCAACACGTTGTCGTGTTTTCGAAAACACTGAAGACCTCTGCGCGACTGTTGTCATCATTTACCGTTGTTATGTTGATCTGCTTTATTGCCTTTCTGCATTTCGGGGTTTTGATCTTCGGGACGGGTTCGAGGCATTACTCTTCGATACTCAGAGCTATATATTTCCAACTCGAACTGACTCTGGGGCGCGTGAAAGCGAGACCCATCAATGAACTGGCAGATGCCAACGACACTTTTGGAAGAATTTTTGCCGTCTTACTTCTTTTTACCCTGACGATATTGGCCATGAATTTTTTTATTGCCATTATGAACGATGCTCTTATGAATGCAAAGACCTGCGCGAGTGAAAATGAGCTCTACGACCTTCTGGATGAAAATTGGAGTCAAAAGGGAGGAGAGAATAAACGCACATTTGACGCTATAAGTGAAAGTATAAAACTAACGAAAGGAAATGAAGAAATAGTGAAGATGACGAAAACAGAGATTAGGAATTGTGGCGAAAATCCCAACAAAAAGAGGGTAGTCAATTTTGATGCAATAAGCAAAGCAATTATAGCATCAAGAGAACAAAGCGTGGAAAATTCAACAAGGAAGAAGCTTAATGCCAACACAAGGAAAAAATCCTTGTTTGATGAGATCAGCGATTATATTTTGAAAAAGTTTACAAGTAACGAAGAACACAAAATAAAGAAAGAACTAAGGTCGTCACACAGTCAACAGCATCGCAAAGTGCGCTTCTCAGAAGACGTTATCAAATGTCAGTTTCAGAAGCTACAAAAACAGAAAAAGTTCCTTTTTCAGCGCTTAGATAACATAATTCAAGGCTACTCTGAAGAAGAAGAAAGTTTCCAGCTGTTATGTTACGAAGCTGGTTATTCCTCCAAAGAAGCCACCACAGCCGCTGACCAAGGAACTACGAATGACTCATTTGCATGACAGTATAGTAAAATAAGGAAACGAATGCTTAGAAAGTTTAGCACACGTTTTATATACTACATCACAGTCAATGGAGTGTATCTCAACAGATCTGCAGTTTTGTTCCTCCCTTTAACTTTGCTTCAATTCTGGTCAATACGTTTTGGACACTTCTTTCTTACAAAAAATCCACAACTGATATATTTTTTGAAATCCCCTTTCCCTGGATCAAGGCTGGGTTTCAGTTGTCAAACTCTTTCAGTTAAAATCTTGTTCATTCTCATTTTCATTGTAACCCCAACTTTAAGTGTGGAGTAAGGTAGAAACCTTGTGAAAGTCGTTACTACTTGCAAATTCCACCTAATAAATGGAAACTGGAAAAAAACAAGTGTCTCAAAACTTTTTCGCCAGGATCGTACATTAGTAAGTAAGGAGTTTTCATCAAACCGAACATAAAAAGAGCTCGTAGACACGATGTTTTCTTCATGCACATTCCCATGATATCGACTAGGACTTGACAACTATGTTCCAATGATAATACCCCAGGGATAATACGACCGTTTTTTTACACAGGATAGCTCTAACTCCTTGGTTTTGTCGCTCGATCCATAAAAAGCAAGATATCTCGAGATCACTTCGATTTCTTTGATTTATTCTTTAACTTATTCCAGGAAGAAAGAATTATTATTTTGGCTTGCCCGGGGTTTGAGCCGACTCACCCGAGTGATCCATCAGATCAGATGAGACTGATTGCGCCACTGCGACCCAAGGTAACTTGGGATGTGAAAAATAGCTATAAGTTATGCACGAGGTACGGGATAAGTTGGTGACTTTTCGGCTTGTTTCGGGTATTTGACGTGGTGAAACCGGAATGAATTCCAGATATCGCGAGAACCTTTTCGAGTTCTTTCCGCTACAATAAATATTTCAGGCGGAGCGCAAGGTATTAAAGGATTTGCGACGATAAGGAATTTCTCAAACTTGCAGTTTGTTGCCGAATTAAGGGCTGAAATTGTTCGACATATCTCGAGATCAGCTTAGTTTTTAGTTTATCTGAGGAATAAAGTGGACTTATCTTTGCCCCGTTAGATCACGGAGACGAGTGTGAAGTATAAAAGATCGGTGATTTGTGGGTTTAAATTTCTAATTTGGGCCAGCGGCAAGTCAATGTTTTGCCAGGGGTATATTTGCAGAACGCCGAATAGTCGGCGTGCGAGAATTAGTTATTTTGGGCTTATAGGAAACTAACGAAACCGGAAGTGGAGTTTTGGCATTTGTGAAAAGTGATTTGCGCAAATTGTTTTTTTTAAATAAGAGTAAAGACATTTAGCAATACAAATTTGGAAATGTCAATGCTTAATTAAAGAGAAAAAGCTTTCAGTTCCGGTTGACGTGCGTTACTAGCTCAAAAATGGTTTGTTTTTGTTTGAGCAACCTATAAATATTATCGAAAGCTTTGCTTTTAGCCCTGGCTAAATCTATTTAGTATATACAATGGGCACCCAACGTCAATTTTCGGAAAATATCTGTTCTTAAGACGATTTGAGATCTAGAATTTCGGAACATTTTTCGCAAAATTTCTTGCTTGACTGCCTCTCCTAGGATTTTCGAACATCTAAAAAATGGTGTAATTGCCCATTTTTGACGGAATTTTACCCTAACTTTACCTATTTTCGGGAGCCTTTTTTCTGGCTGAAATTTTCGAAAAGGTAAGTTTTGATCCCTATAATTTTCGGATCACTAGACTTTCAGCTAGGAAATCCGAAAAGATGAAAAATTTTTAGGGGATAAAAATATGCCTATATCTACTGTTAAATACTAAAACACGTTGAAAAATGCTATTTTTATGTGGTTGTAACCGAAGTCACGCGTATTAGTGTCCAACCGCTTTTTTTTTTAAATCACACTCCTACGGTACTGTACAACCAAAAATACAAAGAATACGAAGTTACGAAAAATGTAGAAATCACTACAAAATAACAAATACATAAAAGAAAACGGAAAAGCGTACAAATGGCGTATGACTAAAATTTACCTTAACGGTTTCTTGACTTAACGTTAAAAGGAATGAGCTGTTCTTGACCGATAAAAACTGTAAAAAACACTGACCGACAAGACTAAGTTTATACCAAAAAAACTTGACAGATTACGTAACATTACGCAACGATGGTGACACCAAAAAGAAAGTAAACAATATAACAAAAGAAAACTATAAACAATTACAACTAATTGCAAGTAGACGCGAACAAAAGAAACAAAGAAAACCCTAAGTTCTAGAAGTTTCGCTTTAACACACCGGCCTCGAAAGGCAGACGGGCATTCAAGCCTTGCCTTTCTTAAGAAAACTAAGCGAAACTAGTAAACGAAACTTATTTAGAATATTCAAAAACCTTATCTACAATTAACATCTTTGCTTTACACAGTTCGCAACGTATTTATGAGCTAAGTGATCACTGCAATCAGGGACTTCCTTTCCAGCAACTGGCTCCTTTTTGTCCAAAACCTCGAAGAGGTCTGTCTGTCCTTACAAGTTACATTGTGTCAACAGCTGGGATTAATTATCGGCAGCTTCCAGCAGCAAGCATATCTTTCTAATATCTCGCTTCAAAATTGCTCTGGCGGTTCTAACTGTAGCTTGTCGCACTGCACCATAGCGATCTGGTGTAACTTCTTCAACAACACCCATTGGCCACTGTCCACGCGGACTGTGCTCATCAGCTATGAGAACCAAATCTCCAACAGCTACATTCCGGCGCGGGCGAATCCACTTCTGCCTTTCTTGAAGAGATAACAAGTATTCATCTACCCATCTTCTCCAAAAGATGTTACTCAGGTATTGTGCTTGTCTCCAGCATTTTTTGTACTTGTCTGTGGACGCAGTGGAGAAGTTACCAGGGGCAACACATGCATTACGGTGAGACAACAAAAGATGATTCGGCGTTAATGGTTCCAAGTCATTTGGATCTTCGCTTAATCTTGTGAGTGGGCGGTCGTTCAGGATTTTCTCTACCTCGGCCATAACAGTGAGAAGGGTCTCGTCATTGACTATTTGGTTTCCCAGGAGAGCGCGCAGTATCTTGCGAACAGAGCGAATCATTCTCTCCCAGACCCCTCCTTGGTGACTTGCTTGTGGGGGGTTGAAGTACCATTGAATACTGCGCTTGCGTAAACTCTCTGTGATGCGTGATTGATTCCACATTTTAAGAGCTTTCTTCAACTCACATTCTGCTCCTTTAAAGTTGGTACCATTATCGCTGTAAACTTCTGTTGGTGCACCGCGCCTACTGACAAATCTTGAAAACGCCATCAGAAACGAGTCAGTCGTCAAATCTTGAGAGACCTCAATATGCACTGCTCGCATTGTTAGGCAGGTGAAAATGCACCCATATCGTTTAACTCGACTTCTCTTCAACTTGACTGGCATTGGTCCGAAGTAGTCAATTCCAACTGCGGTGAACGGTGCATCTCCTGGCGTGACGCGAGCCATAGGTAGCGGAGCCATAATCTGTGCTTCCGGCTTTGAGTTCCATCTTCTACACTTGATGCACTTGCTGACCACTCGTCTGACGGCTGAACCACCTTTCAAAATCCAAAATTTCCTTCTAATTGCAGCAAGAACTTGACTTGATCCTACATGGCCTATCTGATGATAATGGCGAATAATCATGTCAGTTACGTGATGCTTGGTTGGTAGAACTATTGGATGCTTCATGAAACAATCGATAGCCTCTGCATTATTAAGACGACCACCAACTCTGATTAACCCATTATCAGCTATTGGATTGAGTTTGCGCAGTGGGCTGACGTACGAACCGTCACTAAGGCGTTTCCCCGACACTCTAGAGATACTACGGCGTTGCTGAGCTTCAGTCATCAGTGCATTCAACTCCCTCGGAAAGAACAGCCTTTGCACGTACTTAATGACCTCCACTTCAGCGTTTTGGATTTCGCGGACGGATAATTCTCCTCTTTTGACGTCTTCTTTTGCAATCTTCCCTGTGCGATACAGCAAGTAATTCTTGAAGCGGCTCAGCCAAGCTAGAGCCTTTTTCAAACCATACCACGAAGAGTAGTGATAAACCAACGAGTCAAACCCTTGATCTTGCATAACAGCATGCGCCTGGACTTTCTTCGATCTTTTGACGTTCTGGTCATTTTCATCAATCTCAGGAAGCTGGGTTGGCTGATTTGGCCACTGGCTTTCGTCCTTCAACAAAAATCTTGGTCCCTCGAGCCAAATCTTCAGTTTGGTACGTTCATGAGAATTAAACCCACGAGACGCGTAATCTGCTGGGTTCAGATCAGAGCTAACATGACGCCACTGAGACGGGGTAGAGATATCGTGGATCGTTGCCAGCCGGTTGGAGACGAATGTCTGGAATCTTGTGTGACTGTTGTTGATATACTGCAAGACAATAGTAGAGTCAGTCCAAAACGTCACTTCATGTATAGGCAAAGTGAGTTCTTCCTTGATCTGCTTGTGAAGCTTTACAGCGACTGTGGCAGCCGTTAACTCCAGTCGTGGTACTGTCACAGTCTTCAGTGGAGCAACTCTTGCCTTTCCCAGTAAGATGCTACAGGCGATATTACCAAGCGCATCAGTTAAGCGCAGGTATGAGACAGCCCCATATCCCTCTTCCGAGGCATCTGAGAAATGATGCAGCTGGACGGAACTGAGCTCGCCAAAATCTCTCGGTTTCACACAACGTGGTATGGCTACTTCGGTAAGACCAATGATGCCCCTTGTCCAATCTTGCCACTGCAGAAGGTCGTCTTCTTGGACTATGTCATCCCAACCAAGCTCGTCTTTGCATAACTTCTGAAGCAGTCGCTTAGCTGGAAGTATAACTGGAGCAGCTAGGCCAAGAGGATCATATAGAGATGAGGTGACAGAAAGAATCTCTCTCCTTGTGTTGGCTGTAATATTCGGAATGGTCCTAAACCCAAAGGTGTCTTCTTCCGTGTCCCACTGCATGCCAAGGGCGCGATCTAACGGTAAATCTTCTAAGTCTAGGTTAAGG